AGTAGGGAGGTGGTGTTCCTACACAAAGGCCTTATTAATGTATGAACCAGTGTATCTACTGTTTACTAGAGCTGTTGTTCAGATCTGGGGGGATCCTGAGAAGGGAGCCAAGAGGACAGGGACCTAGAGCTAGTACTCAGAACATCCTTGAATGAACTACTACTTGTTCTGAAGGGAATGTACAGCTTGTACAGCCTTGTTGTCTGAGAGGGTAAGTATATGTACCAACATTTCCTTATTAACCTCTCTCTTTCAACAAGGACAGACTCATGTCCTCAGCTGTGAACTCAGCTGAGACTATCCCTGTTTGATACTATAGACAAACTACTGAGTAGTAAACAGGGCTGGGTAATGTTCTGAATGTTCTAAGATCTTGGAACACAGAAGTAGCAGGTTAGATTGTACAGATTTAGACTCAGATGAAGTGTAAAGAGAAGAATCAAAAGAATCAGAAGAAATAGGAGAACTATCTACTTTTGTTTTCAACTTTTTTCTTTCTAATAAATAATTTTGTTGATTTATTTTTTCTACTTTTTCTACTTTTTCTACTTTTCTTACTTTATTTACTTCTAATCCTACAGTGTCTATTGAATCAAAAGTAGTCATTAAAAAATCTGAGTTATAGCCCTTCAGTACTGTATTTACTGTTGGGCCTCTACAAAATCCTAGGGTATGTAGTCAGGGTCTGAGAGTTCTGAGGTGACTTCTGGATTTGTAGAGAAGGCTTCTTACTATAAATCCTGCTTGTCACTCATTATTACTCTAATAACCTGACAGATGTACTGTTGCTTCTATAGACAGTCCTTAATTTAGTGCCCTGACTTTCTACAGGCAAAGCATACTCCTTACTTTTAGGCTTCTCTAATGTCTATCAGAACAGATTGATTACAAATTACAGGCAGATTGATCTGAGGGCTCAGAACTGTTAGAGCTAGACACATGTGTAAGTGTTCTGTACAGACTTAACACATCCAAGCTGCAGCTTAGTCAAAGGAGATAGTGTGTGTCTTCCACTTGGTGTAGGTGACTAGTTCTAGCATCATTCTAAGAATCTTATTGACTAGTTCTGGGTGAAGAGCTTTTTCAAGCATCCTAATAAGGACATTATTGAACCTGAGTGTGAATCCTGCCTTCTAGGCCAGAATATCAAACTCCTGAAAGAAGGCATTGGTGGAACGTTTGCCCTGTTACAGAGACACAAGCTTGTTCTGTGTATTGTGCTTCTCATTTGGATCAATGAAGGAAGTATAGAGCTGCCCTATAAATTCCAAGTATGACTCATTGTTCTAAAGTTGGATCAGGCTTCTGATCTGATGGCCTTTGATCCAGTTCTGGGCCCAGGTGGCTGTGTTGCCTTCCTTCATGAAGGAGAGGACAAATAGGATGTGATCAAGATCTGAGGATAGATTAGTCAAAGTAGTAGTCATGTATAGTTTGACTTAGTACTAGAAGTCCTTAAAGTACTACCCATTAAAGTCTGAAGGGTAGACTATATACACTTTCTTTCCAGAACAGATTGTAGCTTCCAGAACAATTAGAACAGGTTCTGAAGGGGCTAGGGGCATGTGGTTAGTAAAGGCCTCTTGGATGGAGGTCTGTACATATTAAGCTAGTTCTACTTGTAACTACTGATCTGGTAGGACAGTAGGGGTGGCAGTTAGTGTAGTAGGGTTCATGTCTACACTACAAAGGGATCAATACTAAACTAAAAGGGGTAATGAATAGAAGAAGGGTGGCAAAAGTTTAAAAGGGTTTAGAAAGTTTAAAATTTAAAAATGTAAAAGGGTTAGGACAAAGGAAAGAGATTGACACAATGGTGAGTACTAATGCCTGAAACATAGGAGAGTTGTAGGGTGGTAATAGGTAGTCTTGATCTAATGTTAGTAACAGTGTAGAGGGGACCTGAAGGCTCAGTGAGGGGACCCAGGCTACAACTATCCTACACAACAGAAATACAGAATACAAGTACTAGAATGTAGTCAGAACTTACAGAACAGGCAGAGAGAGAGAGTGAGACAAGAGTAGAGTATATAGAGTGAGCCTAAGAGTACAGGACTACCTAGAGTAGACAAGATCAAGACTACAGGACTAGTCTGATCTTGTACACCTATATATACTAAACTACACAAGAGTACTCAGGGAGTATGAGCCACTAAGAATGATGAGCCACAAAGAATGAAAGAAAGGAATGTCAAAGATAAAGGTATAAAGAATGAAGGGATAGACAAAGGGTAAGAGACTATAGAATAATACAAAGAATGAAGGGGTGGTCAAAGGAATGGAATAATAAAGTAAGGAAGGGTAGTAGCAAGAGTCAGCATGCATATAGTCTATAGACAGCACCCCTGAGGGACAGAAGTCCTGAGTTCTGGTATGGAAGGGTGTAGAACCCTTAGAACTGAAGGTACAAGAGCAGAGAACTGTAACAGCTACAACTATC